AGTAGCACATGGCACTGAGGAAGGGTTAATACCTGACAATGTTCTGCACATTTGCACTTTTTTGCACATTTTTGTGACATCTGAGCAATAAATGTAATAAGCCTTTTTGGCTGAATCTGGACGAGTGCAGATCTCTTTCATCTCTACTTTAACTTCTTTAAAATGCCCTTTAACCATCCTTTAATAATAATCTGGTTTCCAAACACTTTTTGTCTCTTCAATCAAAGCAAAAGTTGTTTTGATTAGTCTTAAGGATGGGGAGAGAGACTCAAAAGCCTCTCAGGTGCAGTTTCATTTCAATATTTTTGTTTATATAGCTGTTAAATGTCAACTTCAGGTCAGTGTTTATATGTTATAGACTCTTTGACCCTGTTGTGACAGTCCCTCCTCATTTCATCCTGGTAACAGCTAATGACAAGCAAGTGCTCTCACTGTCTACTAAATGTTTAAGTGCTAAACCTGCACACTGCGCCCGACGGTTTTGCACCGGCTCTGAATTTTGCACACTCTAGTCGTCTTTTTTAAAATTGTGCAGTGTGTATGAGAATGATAGAAATAGACTAGTTAATAAGAAGTGAATTTCACTGAAATGGATTTAATAGTAAATAGTAATAGTTTAATAGTAAACTTGGTTTAGAAAATACTGAATATTCATGTATTCAATTCAGAGCTGATTAAGGGTGTTTATTCACCTTATATTTAGCTACTTTGGCCACACTTTACATTACAATGTTACAGTGTAATTAAAAATAATTTGCTTTATGTGGTAACATTACAGTAAAAAAAATTATATTATATATGTTAAATATTATATATACAAGTGCATCTCAATAAATTAGAATGTCATGGAAAAGTTCATTTATTTCAGTAATTCAGCTCAAATTGTGAAACTTGTGTATTAAATAAATCCAATGCACACAGACTGAAGTAGTTTAAGTCTTTGGTTCTTTTAATTGTGATGATTTTGGCTCACATTGAACAAAAACCCACCAATTCACTATCTTAACAAATTAGAATACTTCATAAGACCAATAAAAAAACATTTTTAGTGAATTGTTGGCCTTCTGGAAAGTATGTTAATTTACTGTACATGTACTCAATACTTGGTAGGGCCTCCTTTTGCTTTAATTACTGCCTCAATTCGTCGTGACATGGAGGTGATCAGTTTGTGGCACTGCTGAGGTGATATGGAAGCCCATATTTTTGCACTAAACTTTTGTGGGTATCTGCTTTGAACATTTTATGAATACTATAATATAATAAAATATTATAATAAATATTTATTAAGATTACAAGATTCATAACTAAGAATCTGGAGTTTATATTATCTGTTGAATGTTTTTCAACAGATAATATAAAATTATAAATGAATAAATGAAATAAATGAACTTTTCCACGAAATTCTAATTTATTGAGATGCACCTGTATTATCAA